GTCAATGACATGAGACAAAGTATATGTGAACTGCTGTATGAAAAGTGAATTTACTCTGTAAATCTTCACCCAAATCCTAATTAAAAAGTAAATAAATAAATAAATAAATAAAAAAGAAAATAATGTGCAAGTAGTCTACATTTACTTGCCAACAATGCTTCCCTTCCTGCTGCTGAGGTATTTTTGTAAGTGCACTATGCCAGTTTTGTTTTTCAGCAACATGGGAGGGCACTGTTCATAAATAAATATGGAATGCCTATTATTTTCGTAAAAATATGGTATTATTTGTTCCATTTTTATCTCTTTGAAATACTGCTTCCAAAACCTGAGCCTGTGAAAGAAATATAGTAGTAATTTTAGTTTTCTGTTTAGGCTGTGATAAAGCCTCCAGGTTTTACTCAAGCACTGTATTGGGATATACCTATATAATTTAATTCTCATAATAAGTCTATATCCAAACCAAACAAAACTCACTGCTATTGAGTCAATTCTAACTCATAGCAACCCCTCATTGGGTTTCTAAGGAGGTATCTCTACAGAAGTAGATTGCCCAGTCTTCCTTCCAAGGAGTGGCTGGTGGATATGAACCACCAACCTTCTGGTTAGCAGTCAAATGCCTTAGGCACTGTCATTTATTGTGGTTGTTGGATAATAGCAGCAGCTGTGTGAATAAGTTGTCCTTCCCTTTCTAAATGAAGCCACCTGGGGAAATGAGAAGAAATCTGATAGGATTCAGCCTCCAACACAAGCTTCTTTCTTATATAAGAACCCCAGTAGCACATACCATCCCAGGAACTGGACTCCATCCAGTTGGCAGCATTGAAGAGTGAGGCAGTGCCACCGTAGCAGGCATTGGTGGTATCTATGCCCTCAATGTCGGTGTTCCCAGAATCCTGGAAAAGCTCCATGAGCACTGTTTTGACAGCTTTGGACTTGTCAATGATGGTTTCAGTGCCCACCTCCAGCCGGCCAACAGAATCCCATGGGATCTGTGTGCGCTCCATCAGCTGCTGCACCACTGTCAAGCACAAGGAGTTGATATCTTCTTGGACTGAGCAGAAACCCATTTGGTTCTGACCCAAGCCCACTGTGTACTTTCCTGCTGCCACATTGTTATACTTCTCCAGATCAGTTTGGTCCACATATTGGGCTGGGAAGTAGACCTCCAGGGCAAGAATGCCCACATCCTTTGGCCAGGTATCTGTTTTGGCCAAGGGAACAGCAGACACCGTAGAAAACCTATTGTGGAGATAACAGCAACACATCATTCATTTGATTTGTCCTTTTATATATGTTATCATATGCATACAGATTCAGCATTATTATGTCTTTTGGTTGAATTGACCCTGTATCTTATTAAATGTCCCTCTTTATCAGTAGTAATAATTCTTACTCGAAAGTCTACTTTTCTTGATGTTAATGTAAACATACTAGCTTTTTGATTAATATTTGTATGGCGCATATTTTTCTGTCCTTTTATACTTTCAACCTATCGGGGTCTTTATATTTATCATTCATCTCTTGTAAAGCGTGTGGTGTTGTTGTGTGCTTTTGAGTTGATTCTGACTCATAATGACCATATATAACAGAATAGAATTGCCCATAGGAATTGTTGTTGTTGTTGTTAAGTGCCAT